TTTTTTTGGCGGAACCGGGGATTGAACTCAGGCCCTTGTGCTTGCAGGGAAGCGTTTATTCCACTGAGCCATCTCCCCAGCCCTTGATTATCTAATATGTGGAAAGTGAAGACCTACAGATCTATATACTCAAAAGACTACCTAGGTAGTCCCTCTTTCAAGATGTAGTGTTCAAGCACAAGTGGCTTTTTATATCTATTATTGCCTTTCATTTAAGAAAATAGAAATTAATTAAAATGAATACTTTAGTTATTTTACATTATGGCCAGTGCATAAAGGCCTCTGTTTATATACTGTTTAATTCCATTCATGAATTTTCTTGAAACATCAAAGTTGCAAAAAGCAGAAAGTAGATCAGTTGTTGCCAGGTCCGGAGAAAGAGAGGGGCTGGCTGCAAAGGGTGCCACAGGCTTAGGTTGTGATGGAGCCTCTTTTGTATTTAGGAGTGGTTTTACAACTGCATTTGTCAAGACTTGTGGAACTCTATACTACAATGAGTGAGTTTTCCTCTACCAGTTGTACCTTAAAATGGAAGTTAAGGTGAGAAAAAGAGCCCCTTTCTAAGAGGTTTTTATATTCATGAAAATGTACTTATGTTTATGTACATATCTAATGTCAGATCATCGGTACTTAACAATGATATTTAAGTACAGGATATTAACTCAGAATTTTCCCTAAATAGAATGTTGCAAAATAACATGAAATTCACTAGAGAAAATATCTACTTATGCTAATTTCTTTAGCTAAGGATAATCATGTTTGGGAAGGGAAGTTTGTAGTTTTCAAACACAACCTCTGAAATACTAATGCTTCACTGTTGTTAGTTTTTATATTTTTGAATATATCCTTGTGAGCATTTTTTAGTTAAGTATTTCTGGTCTTTTGATTATTTTTAGTGCTTAAAGTACTTCCACATCAATATGAAATGAGTGAAGGCCCTGACTGTTTTTAGAAAACTTCCTGATCATAAAATAAGAAAGAAAAAATTGCACTTTTCTTTAAAGTGACTTTTATGAAGTGCTTTTGAACTTTGACATTATGGCATGATCCTCTTTTATCATTCTATTTATGGCTTTTAAATTAATGGAAAATGCTCATTTATCTCAGGAGACCTTTCCTTCATTGTCTAATCATTTTCCTCTTGTAGATACAGATTTCTCCTGTCATTTATTGAAATAAATATTGAAGAAATAAAGACAAGGGGCTCTAGCACTTACTTTGCCAGTGGCATGGCAGGGACATTGAAATGGGCTCTGGGTCTACAAATCATAGCCTGTTCCCCACACATTGTAAAATTTTCCTTTAACCTTTCATCATTTAACATTCTTGCTATAGATAATGTCCAGTAAGTACTTCAGCCCTCCGAACATCATTCAATGATGCTATTATATCTCTGATTTGTGTGGCTTTGTGTGTCAATATTTCAGTGGACTGTTTCAATTCCAGTGAACTCTGGTTTAAGCCTGCTGATTTTTACAGACAGTCTTCAAAGTTTACAGACAGACTTTTATTTTTTTTTTAAACCACCTGTCTTGTTGCCTCCACGTTCTGCTTAGTATCTTATGCAACAAACTCCTTTGCCGTAGCTGGGCTCCTCTTGTTCTTCACACAGGGAATACCAAGCAATTTAAGAGCAGGGAGTAGTTTGCTCTGTTGGCTTTTTGTCACTATGGGCAAATATCTGTCATATACAATTTAAAGGATTAAAGACTTATTTGGGTTTATGACTTCAGAAGTTTAATGCATGGTGGTTTAGAACAAATATAGAGGCATCATGGCAGGACACATTGGAGTAAAGTTATTCACTTACAACAGAAACAAAGAAAGTGAAGAAGAGCCAAGGATGGATGGATAGATAGATAGATAGATAGATAGATAGATAGATAGATAGATAATTTCCCAGGTTTTGCCTCCAGTGACCTAATTCCTCCACCCAGGTATCACCTTCTAGTAGCGCACTCAGCTGTGATTGCATCAGTGGATAGATCTATTGATGAGGTCAGTGTCCCCATGATCAAATCATCTTCTAAAAGTCCCATCTGTGAACAAATGAGTTTTTTGGGAGAACATTTTTTTTAATCCAGACCTTAACACTATCCCTCTGCATGAAATATGAACCTTCTCCAGGACATCCTTAACTACCTTTCCAGGGATAAGATGACCCATGTATCATGGTGGACTTCTGTTGATAAATAATTCTAATTGTGAGAAAGCTATTTTATGTTGAGTTGTGGTCCTGTAATTTCCATCTGTTTGTTCTAACCTTGCCCACTGAAGATAGTCCTTCATTCAACAACTATATATTGAGGACCTTATCCTTGCTGGGTTAGGTGATGAGATCACAGAGATTTTAATTAAATTAAATTTATTTATTTATTTATTTATTTATTTATTTGGTACAGGGTCTCACTACGCAGCTTGGACTCATAGGGATCCTCCTATCTCAG